GTCATGGGTATCCTAATAGGGATCGCATTGAATTTGTACAGTGCTTTGGGAAGTATTGCCATTTTGACAATGTTAATCCTCCCGATCTATGAACAGGGGATATTTATCCATTTCCTTGTGTCTTCTTTTATTTTCTGAAGCAGCGTTTTGTAGTTTTCTTTGTACAGGTCCTTTACTTCTTTAGTTCAGCTAATTACTAGGTAGTTGTGTTTCTGGGGTACAATTGTGAATGGGATTGTTTTCTTCATGTCATTTTCTTCTCTCTCACTATTTGCATATCTGAAAGCCATGGACTTTTGGGTATTGATTTTATTGCCTGCAACTTTACTATACAGATCTATTGTTTCTAGGAGTTTCTTGGTAGAGGTTTTAGGGTTCTCTAAATATAGTATCATATCATCTGCAAATACTGAGAGCTTGATTTCTTCCTTTCCTACTTGGATGCCCTTAATCTCTTTTTCTTACCTAATCGCTATTGCAAGTACTTCTAGTACTATATTGAACAGCAGTGGAGAGAGTGGGCATCTTTGTCTCGTCCCTGATCTTAGAGGGAAGGCTCTCAGTTTTTCCCCATTGAGGATGATGCTTACTGTAGGCTTGTGGTAGATGACTTTAACTATATTGAGGAAAGTCCCCTCTATCTCCAATTTGGCGAGGGTTTTCATCATAAATGGGTGCTGGATCTTGTCAAATGCTTTCTCTGCATCTATTGATATGATCATATGATTTTTATCTTTTCTTTTGTTTATATGATGGATTATGTTGATTGATTTTTGAATGTTAAACCATCCTCACATCCCTGGGATGAATCCCACTTGGTCATGGTGTATGATCTTTTTGATGAGTTGTTGAATTCTATTTGCTAGTATTTTTTTGAGAATCTTCGCATCGTGTTCATCAGGGATATAGGCCTGTAGTTTTCTTTTTTTGTGGTGTCTTTGTTTCCTTTTGGTATTAGGGAGATATGGGCTTCATAAAAACTGTTTGGGAGGATTTCTGTTTTTTCAATTTCCTGGAATTGCTTGAGAAGAACTGGTAATAGTTCCTCTTTAAATGTTTCGAAAAATTCGCTAGTGAATCCATCTGAACCTGGGCTTCTGTTTTTGGGAAGACTTTTGATTACAGGTTCAATTTCCTTGATGTTAATAGGTCTATTCAGGTACTCTATATCTTCTTGATTCAGCTTCGGGAGATGATAGGAATCCAGGAATTTATCCATTTCTTCTAGGTTCTCTTGTTTCATGGCATACAGACTTTCAAAGTAGCCTCTGATGATCATTTGAATTTCTTTGGTTTCTGTTGTGATATCCCCATTCTCATTTTTATTCAGTTTATTAGTGTTCTCTCTCTCTCTGTTTCTTTGTGAGTGTTGCTAGTGGTTTATCTATCTTATTTATTTTCTCGAAGAATTAACTCTTAGTTTCACTGATCTTTCAGATTGTTTTTTTGGTTTCCATGTCATTAATTTCTGCTCTAAGTTTTATGATCTCTTTCCTTCTCCCTACTTTGGGCTCCTTCTGTTGATCCTTTTTTAGGATCTTGAGCTGTGAAGTCAAGTTGTTTATGTGCATCCTTTCTTCCATCTTGAGGTATGCTTGCAGAGCTATAAATTTTCCCCTTAATACGGATTTCGCTGCATCCCATAAGTTCTGGTAGCTTGTGTCTTCATTCTCGTTTGTTTCGTATCTTTTGATTTCGTCCTTGACTTCCTTCCTGATCCATTCGTTGCTCAGCATTGAGTTGTTTAGTTTCCAGGTGTTTGATTTGGTTCTCCGTGTCTGTGTGTGATTCATTTCTATTCTCAGTGCATCATGGTCTGAAAAGATTGTTGGTAGTATTTCTATCTTCCTGATTCTACTGAGGTATGTTTTGTGGCCTAGCACATGGTCTATTTTGGAAAATGTTCCATGCACACTGGAGAAGAATGTATATTCTTTCTTTTTGGGGTGTAAAACCCTGTACAGGTCTGTAAGTCCTCTCTCTTCTATTTATTCTTTCAAAGCCAATGTTTCCTTGCTGAGTTTTGTTCTTGTTGTTCTATCCAGAGGTGATAGGGCGATGTTGAAATCTCCAGCTACTATTGTGTTGCTAGCAACGTCCTCCTTGAAATCTTTTGGCAGTTGTTTGAAGTATTTAGCTGTTCCCTCGTTAGGTGCGTATACTTTTAAGAATGTGATTTCTTCCTGTTGTACGTATCCCTTGATGAAGAGAAAGTGGCCTTCTCTGTCCCTTCTAATCTTTTTCAATGTGAAATTAATGTTGTCAGTTGCTAGTATGGCCACTCCAGCTTTTTTGATGGAGTTGTTTGCTTGCAGGATTGTTTTCTATCCTTTTACTTTGAGTCTGTTTTTGCTCTGATTGTTCAGATGAGTTTCTTGTAGGCAGCAGAATGTTGGTTTCTGTTTCTGTATCCATTTTGCAACTCTGTGTCTCTTGATTGGTGCATTTAGGCCGTTGACATTAAAGGAGATTATTGTCATGGGATTTTGTGCCATGTTTCTGTAGGTGCGGGTTGTGTTTCTAAGTGTTTTCATTCTTATCCTACAGCAGCCCCTTTAACCCTTCTTTTAGTTTAGGTTTTGAGTCTATAAAGTTCCTGAGCTGTTGTTTATCTACAAAATGGTGTATAGTTCCATCGAGTTTGAGTGAGAGTTTAGCTGGATAAAGTATTCTTGGTGAGGCATTCATTTCATTGAGTTTTTTCACTATATATATCCCACCATTGTCTTCAGGCTTGGAGGGTTTCCTCTGATAGGTCTGCTGTAAATCTAAGGGGTGCTCCTTTGAACATGATTTCTTTCTTTGACCTTGCTACTTGTAGTATTGTGTCTCTGTCCAAAGCATCCATCGTTCTGACTATGATGTGCCTTGGAGTGTTTTTATTAAGGTCTCTTTTTGCTGGCACCCTTCTGGCTCCTTGGATCTATATGTATGCATTCTTTAACTCTGGGAACTTTTCGGCAATGATTTCTTTGACTAAGGCTTTTTCATTGGGATTGCCTCCCTGCCCTTTGGTTCTCCAATGATTCTAATATTGTTCCTCTTGGCGTCATCCCCTAGGTCTCTGATTCTCCTAAGAGCCATTTTGAGATCTTTTTCCATTGCTTGTTTTTTCCTATGGGATTTCTGTTGTTGATCTTCAAGCTCACTGATCCTCTCTTCAGCTGCACTTATCCTATTGCTAAGAGCACTTACTGAGTTTTTAATTACATCTACCGAGTCCTTTATCTGTGACACTTCTTTCTGTAGCTTTTTTGTTTCTGCTTTCATTTCTTCATGTATTTTCTCGACTAACCTTTCTATTGTTTCTTTGACTTCTTCTTTTAGTTTTCTGGCTATCTCTTTCATTGTTTCTTTAAGTAGGTCCTTGAACATCCTCTGCATTTCGTCCCAGAGTTCTTTATCGGAGAGAGCATATTTGTATGCAACCCCGGTTGAGGGTTCGGGAATCTTTTCTTCGTCTTCACCTTGTAGTGGAGATTTACGTTGTTTCTTCATGTTGTTTTGTTTGTCTAGTGGTAAAACCCTGGGATTCACTAGCATTCTTCACTGTTATTGTGGGAAAGGGTTCTGGATAAGGTGGGTCGGTGGTGGACACCCTTCTCTGTTTCTAGGGTCTGAGGATCTTTTCTGGCATTTTTTCTCTGGCTTATGATGGGCATCTAGTGAAGGTTTGTAGGTGTTCTATACAGCTTCTGTTGCTTATTGGTTTTTTGTTAGACTTCGAGTAGGCCAGTGGAATATTATTGTATTGTAGTGTAGGTGGTTGGAATTTTTTCCCAAAGAATTAGATGGCAAGGGGTGGGGTCAGGGTCCAGAGTGCTGCGGGTGGGAAATCTAACTGTGGCAGTTCTGGAGAAGGCCACGCCCACTTTTCGGAGGCCATGCCCACTTGCACTGGAGACCACGCCCCTACAGTAATGACCGCGCCCCCAGCCAGTCCAGATGCTAATCCACAGACCTGTTGTGGGGGCGGGGATTTCATGGACCTGTGCTCCCTGCAGAAGTGGCTCAGGCTGCTGGAGGGACCCCTGCCAGGGGGCCGGAGGTGGCGGCTCTATTCACTTCACATTTGGCAAAGATCAGGTTAAGAGTTTTCAAACTCTTAATAACAGTTTTATATGTGATGTTGATTTCATACTGCTGTATATTTTGATCAATTGATTAGGTATTAAACCTACTTCAAAAATTATAAATTATGAGCTCATTATTAATGTCTGATGTTTTATCAGTGTATATCATGCTATGCATGTATGTATATACACGAAGTAATTATGCACATAGAAACTATATGCAATAAATGTTCAATTGTGTTGGATTTCATTATACAGATCATGTTATGTAGTGCAATTTAATAGAGAGCACTTTGTATTTGAAATAACGTACTTCTGGATTTGCTTTACTATGTTTTTAAAAGATGATATCTGCTAACAGTATAATAGTGTACCTAACAATGAATATAGTTAAAATCTCTGCTGGTTGAGAAATGGGATAATATTCCTAAAGAATATATATCTAACTTGTATTGTCGATTCTTTTTGGGGAAAAAAACACATACTGTCTCATGGTTTTCCAGTCATCACCCGCTGTGAAAATATACTTGATTTTTCCACTTTATTCCTTACCTTTATGCCTTTTATATAAAAAGGCATAACTAGGTAAATATAAATTACCTAGTCATCATCTTTATTTTCTTCCAAAAGTGATTTAAGAGAATTTTTAAGATGACGGGTTCTAGGGGAATCAAAACATCAAAGTGCATTCAAAACATCAGTCATGTTAACTGCAAGTAAAATGAATAATCAGTTAGATTGACTATTTTCTTTCTCCAACTGTCTCAAGTCTGGCTTGACAAATTGGACTGATTGTGCTAAAATTGTTATTTCAATTATATATTTAGTCCTAAGTTTTCAAGAGTGGACTAGAGCTTTACTTTTCACACTTTAATGTATTTTGACTTACCTAGAGTTTGTGTTTCAAGCAGAATTTTTTCTTTACAGATTTGGATTTATCCTTAAACCCAAGTGGGGAAGTGACCAAGCAGATTGGTGATACTCTGCCAGTGTCATGCACAATATCTGCTAGTAGGAATGCAACTGTGGTATGGATGAAAGTAAGTATTTATTGGTGAAGTCACAGTGTTTAGACTCACCCTTCAACATCCTATCATGCATATTTGTAGGTTTTCACAGCAAATCTCATTCTGACTGTACATCACAATAAAAATCTTGTCACAATCAAAAAACATTTGTGACATGATTTAACTAGAGAATCTCTGATTACTTTGTGGTGTCAATTTTACTGTGTGTATACACTAAATAATTATGCACATAGACACATGGACATGCACACACCAAGATATAGTTATATTTTTTGGTACTTCATGATTTATAGTATATTTTAACCTTCATTATTTTCACAAATCACTAAGTGCTGTAAAATGTGCAGGACATTGATTACTTCCCCACATTATTTATAAAAACATAGAAGAGAAATCCAAAAGCTGGTAAGTAGCAAGGGCTCAAACTGGACAGAATATAAATACTGTGCTCTAATCTTTAAAACTTCATCTTTTTTGCTGATACTGATATTAAGTGTTGAAATGCTCTTTCTATTGAGTTAGTAACTTGTTGAAAATAGAGATATCTTTTCCTCCATGAGTATTAGTAGTACCTGGAATATACCTAAGAATTCAGTATTTCCTAAGTGACTCTTTTATAGTGTTAGTTTTTTTTATTAATGAGATTGCTTGATATATAGGCTATTAAATAGTGACCCCAATCATAACTCTTTTTTTAGAGTAAGAAGACTAGTTTGGTAAAATTTGTGATGAGGCAGTGTTATATGAGATTAATATCCAAGAACAGGAAACAAGGGCCAGATGGATTGATCCGCAGTTGGAAGTTTGCCTCAAGTGCTGGGGGAGAAGGTAGTTGGGATAGAGAAGGGATCATTATGACAAAGATAGTTGGAAATGGTCACTCTGGATAAGAATTGCGTGCTGAAAGTTGGTAAAGGAACAAACATGATAACCTCTCAGAATCTGTATTGCAAATCCTAATACCCAAACAGAGAGAGAGAAAGAAGAAAAGGCAGGGTGACAGGAGGGAAAATGGAAATACTAGTAGTGGGAAATGTACAATGGGAGAGAGAGGGATGGGTGGTGGAACATAGTATGACTGAAACCCAACCCTGAACAGCTTTGTAAATGTGTACTCACAGTAATTCAATTAAAAAAAATCGCAGCTATGATACCTCCACTTGTATCCTTGGTTAAAATGATTAACCACCCTAGATGTATTACAAGAACATGGAATGCTAAAGAACACTTAATCATGTGTTAACAGAACTAATTATAAGCCATTCCAAAATTAAGATGATTGACAATAATTATTTCAGTTGAAAATATTGGAGGCTTTTATTGATAACATTTTTGATGGAAATAAAAATTTTCAACTATATTTCATGCATGATTTAGTATTGCTTTTACATCACTTGTCATGCTATTCCCTCTACAGCTTGATCTCTTACTCTTAAAGTTCTATTTCTTATATCACTCTCCTTTAACCGTGGACTCATCATACTGCTCACTTGGATAATTAAAGTATCACTCCATAATCTGTCTATTTAACACAACACAGTTGCGAAAGTTGATGGTTACATAATTACACAAATTTAGATGACTAGAGTACTCAGTTAATCTTTTCTTTTTAAAATGTAGGAGTACTGCTGTTTATTCAGCCACTGATTAGCTGATTGAATTGTGCAGGAACTCCACCTTACTTTTTTTTTTTCATTTTTATAATTTTATTTATTGAATCACCGTGAGAGCAGTTACAAAGTTTTCGGGTCTAAGTCTCGGTCAGTTAATCTTAAGAGCATTCATAGTACATTCATACTACAGGACTGCTAGTGTCTACTTCATCTGCAGTCACTTTTATTAACTAAGTACCTATTATCAGTAGTTCTGGTCAGTTCATTGTAGTTCTGGTCAATTCGTTGTCTGGTTAATTGTTAGTGGAAAAAAATTCATTGTCAACCAAAAATTTACACAATCTTAGACTTGCACTTAGTTCCCTGCTTAGGATCATTTTCATTCTTGAAATAATGGAATGGATTTTTTCCTCTAAGCCCAGGCAAGTATGAAAATTAAGTGTTATATTTACTTTGTTTATAGAAATTGCATAGTAATGTGTTGTTAACGGTTTCTTGAAAAGAGAGTTTTTGTCATAAGGGTCATGAGTCTGAAATATATTTCTAAATTGATAACTGTGCCATAAAATGACTTTTAGGCTTTTTAAACCATCATTGATTACATAGAAGGTACTCTGATATCTGCCAATTCTAATTTATCAACTTTTACCACAAAGAATAGTTCCTATCAATTGAAAAGTTTCCTTAATGTAGATCCATTATATTGTTCACATACTTAAATCCTTATAATAGTTCAATATCACTGTCACTGTCACTGTCTTCCCGTTGTTCATCAATTTGCTCAAGCCGGCCCAGTAACGTCTTCATCGCGAGACTTTGTTGTTACTGTGTTTGGCATTATTGAATATGTCATGGAGAGCTTGCCAGGCTTTGCCGTGCGGGTGAGATACTCTCAGTAGCTTGCCGGGCTCTCCGAGAGGGGCGAGGAATCGAACTCGGGTTGGCCATATTGGCTGAGTGCAAGGCAAATGCCCTACCCACTGTGCTATCACACCAGCCTATGAAAAACCTATTTCACAAATAAGGAAACTGAATCTTGAAAGTTGGTGAATTCGTTCTAAACTAAAAAATCAGTAAATGGAAACTTCTTAAATAAAACTCTAATATGCCTGACTGTAAAACTACAACAGAAAAGAAAATCAATATTTGAAAGTACCTGACATTAAATAAAAAGAAACCTGCAATGTCTTTAAATCTAGAAAAATTAGTTTTGACTTAATTATCTCATAAATGCATGTCATTATAGTACCAGGTGAAATAATTAACTTTCTGTTTTACTAGGATAACATCAAGCTTCGATCTAGCCCTTCATTCTCTAGTCTTCATTATCAGGATGCTGGAAACTATGTCTGTGAAACCGCTCTGCAGGAGGTTGAAGGACTAAAGAAAAGAGAGTCTTTGACTCTCATTGTAGAAGGTAACAAAGCATCTGAGCACCAAACTCGAACTTGTCTTTGAGAACTTGACATCTGGTTTCTTTTATGATCTCAGTTTAATATTTTAGTTTAATTGTGATGATATTTTAGGAAAACCTCAAATCAAAATGACAAAGAAAACTGATCCCAGTGGACTGTCTAAAACAATAATCTGCCATGTGGAAGGTTTTCCGAAGCCAGCCATACAGTGGACCATTACTGGCAGCGGAAGCGTCATAAACCAAGCAAGTATTCATCTTGTTGTCATAGACTATCTCTCCTTGGTCTGACAAGAGGTATTATCAAGTAACTAAACAGTAGATTATCTTGTTACCCGCATAATATGTGCAGTATTTTCTCAGAAGAAGCTTTTGTTAATTCATTGATTTTTTTCCCCAAAGGAACATAAGACTTAAAGAGGAATTTTAAATTTCAGAGCAATGAGAGAATCTTTATTTTGTGGTCAGTTTGGGTTTTGTGTGTGTGTGTTTTGTTTTTGTTTGCTTCTGCTTTGTTTTGGGGTCTTACCTGACTGTGTGCAGGGCTTACTTCCTCTTGGCTCTCAGCACAGTGGTCACTCCTGGTGGAACTTGAGGGACAAAATAGGATGCTGGGGATTTGACCCAGGTCATCTGTGTGCAAGGCAAGTGCCATACCCTGTATACTGTCTCTCCAGCCCAAGGTTCTAGTTTGAAAAAATTATAGATTGTGTATTTTTCTAGTTATTAATGTCTGAAACTTATGTAACTGAAATATTAAGGTATAAACTCTTCTGCATCATAAACTTAGACATCTGAGTGGTCTCTGTTACTTTGCTTACTAATTCACATACAGTGATATTTCATCTTAAAACTGGTCTCTGGGGAGGAGTAAAAATCACAATTCCTATGCTTGAACATGTGTCTTGTTTGTATATGATAGAACAAGAACCAGAATGAGGCTCACTAAAATATATAGTTTCCAGAATGTTTTCGTCTGAATAAAAATAGACATAAACCAAAAACAAATATAATGCCTTTGTCAGGATGCTTTAGTAAGAGTAAAGGATGGAGGACTTATGAATGCTACCTGCATTCCTTTGACAGAAAAAAAAATGAGGGAAATAAGAGTCTGACCACTCACTAGGGGTTTATAGTTGTAGTCAATGTCAGTCAGCTTGGGTTACTGACACACTTGTTAATTCCATTTTCCTTACCAGTCTTCTGTGCTTCCTCATAGAAGGGCAAAATAAAGACTCATGGCGGGGGGGGGGGGGGGGGGGGGCTGGAGCGATAGCACCGCGGGTAGGGTGTTTGCCTTGCATGCAGCCAACCCGGGTTCATTTCCCAGCATCCAATATGATCCCCCGAGCACCGTCAGGAGTAATTCCTGATTGCATGAGCCAGGAGTAACCCTTGTGCATTGCTGGGTGTGACCCAAAAAGAAAAAGAAAATAAAAAGACTGATTCATCAGATACACACAGAGGTGCCTTTTGAGTATCTGATCCTTCTTTTGGATCCAGCTGAAATCTCAGAAAGCTTGAATAAAGCAGAGTTGTAATTTAGTTTTAAGTGAAAATTGTCACTCTTTTTCGATTAAGAGAAGCTGAGCTATCGATTGAGTTTATACAATGTAGTTTGACAAAGGAAATTAAATTTTTGTTCTTTCACCTATGTGATCTATGCATGTATTTGCTTACCCCCAAAATGAAAAGCCACTGAAGTAGTTGCATACTTGAAGCAAATACTCCTCATACAGAATTAGATGGAATGGGTACACAAAAGAACATTCACAAGTTGGGTAAAGAGACTGGGAATTCCTGAACTCTAAGGTAATAGTTTTCTTGGTTCAGAATAAAAACCCGAGTCACTTGAATTGTTGACACAGTATAGCTTTATTTTTGTGGCATGAAAAATTCTTTTATACTCTTTTTGCTATTAGTTCAAGTCAATAATAATTACAGATTTCAAATTTACACACTGCATTCCAATTATGGAAAAAGTTCAGAAAAGTGTTTATAAAATATGTCATTATGTTTAAAAAGAAACTTTAGTTACTGGTAATGAAAGAATAACAGAAAAATAATTTTACTCCTAATATGTATTTGATTATTGAAAAATGAATGAAAACATTTTAAAAAGACTACTCTAAAAGTGAACAAACATGCTCTACAAAGCTAAAATAACAAAAGCAAAAACTCTGTGGGACAATTATAAAAATACTATTTGGAAATGAGAAAAATGCAGATGAATTTACTATGAGGATGAAAATAATAATGCCATTCTTCATTGTCAAGGAGAAGGATTGGCTCTGCCCCTCTAGGTGATATGTTATTTTTCTTGTTCTACATTTTTGCTGATCCATCCATAACATTTTATTTGTTCTCTTTTCTATCACATGTTAGATCTCTTATTTTTCAATTCCGGATACCTCCACCACATCTCAGTCAGAGGGACTAGACGATATCCCTAAGCTTGACCTTTCATCTTCAAAGCACTGTCCATTCCAATGTAGTTAGAGATAAGAACAGAACCACATGATAAATTATGTGTCTAATGCGAGTAAGAACAGAATGCAAGCCCATACTTAGTTACATTAAACTTAGGAATCAAGTTCTGAGGAAGAATGTAGTGAATTGTCACCAATGTCTGTAGAAATAAATGCAGTGATGGCCCTGGTTAACACTTCAGAAAAACAAAAGTTAATGTAGAAAAACAAAAACCTTCTGTATCTTGCTCATGGGAATACAGGAATTTTTTAATTTTTTCTGTCAGCAAATCTTACATACATATACGCATATGGAATTAACCCTGGTAGAGAAGAGCAATGACTTTATTTACAAATAAGAATTAAGTTTTTGAACTTTAAAGAATCCTTCATTGTTTTGTGACAGTTTAACTGCATACCAAAGTTTTACCTAACCTGAGCTTCTAATGAAAGAGTTTAATTTAACTACTAGAATTTAAATTAGAACCATAAATCGGAATGCAGCTATGAATTCACTAATCTTTTTTTTTGTCCCTGTCACTGTCACTGTCCTCCCTTTGTTCATCGATTTGCTCTGGCGGGCCGAGTAACATCTCCATCGTGAGATTTGTTGTTACTATGTTTGGGATATTGAATACATCACGGGTAGCTTGCCAGGCTTTGGCATGCAGGCGAGATACTCTCGGTAGCTTGCCGAGCTCTCCAAGAGGGGAGACATTTTTTCTTTATGGTTATTAAATTCTAGATAGCATTCTAGCGCACCATGCCTATCCAGTTTCACTTGGTGCTACACTTTCCCATTCTTGTAAGACATGTTAAACTCTAAAACCTTTTTCCTTTTTTCTTTTTCCAGACAGAGGAATCTCCTTATATCAATGGCAGGTATTATAGTAAAATTATCATTTCCCCTGAAGAAAATGTTACATTAACTTGCACAGCAGAAAACCAGCTGGAAAGAACAGTAAACTCCTTGAATGTCTCTGCTAGTGAGTATTTTATTTCTGGCCTTTAAAAACAGTAAGAAAATTTGAAGTTATTCTTCATTAGTTTATAATCTTCAATTCCATCTTCCTGTACTACATTATGGTAAGTTTTATTTATTTTACATTTGATATCATCACCATAAGGTTATTTTGTTTTTCCCTTGGTATCCATTCTGTTACTATCTATGTGTTGGTAAATAAAATCATTTTATGTTTTATAAGTCATAGAACTTATCTTTTCCAGGATATTTTCTAAAATCAACAGAGGATAAAAATGGATTTACTATCATTTAATCCATATAGTTATTTAGAGATAAAGAAATAATTCAGAGGCTATTCTCAATATTTTGTATCAGTTTTAGGTTTGGTAAAATTTTTTATTGTCTTTAATCTATTACTTTACAATCCAATTTTTGTGATATTTGTCCTATCCTTTTATACATAAGAATGTGACATGTTTACAATAATTCAGCAAATTATTATTTGCATTCATGAAGACTTCAAAAATTACTTCTGAGTATCCTATTTGAACCATAACTATACAAAAGATAAATAATATCTCAGAGAAAATGAAAAAAAATCAATGCTGATACCCAAGTAATGCATAGATACCAATGGCAACTTCTAATTTGAACTATTTCTTCATCTTCAGTTCATTGTTTCTATTGCTGTGTCAAAATTAAAGTGGGAATTTCTTAGAATGAGCTTTGCTTCTGCAAGACTTCAAACTTTTATTCTTCAATCGGAATCCATATGTGACCTTCACAGGAAGGGACTATTTTTGCTATGCATTAGAGCTAGAAAAAAATAATTGCCTAAAGATAATAGTCCTTTTGCAGATTATGATTAGAACATAAAAGCTTGATTAGTTGACCCGGGAAAGGACCAAACAAATTTAATTCTAAAATAGGAACACTGACTTTTCACAAATCAATTCTGTAAACATTGATTTTTTCTACTAGAAAGAGAATCTATCCCTTATTCCTGAACACAAGTCTCTCTTTATTCTATCCCATTGAATAGTGCTTTTCTGGACCTTGCAGTGACTTGATCAACATTTAATTGAGTCTTTTTCAAATTTGCAAGCACCTCCTGAGATTTCAATTTAGTATGTGTGAAGACGGGTCAGAGAACCTGTATTATAACAACTATCAAAGGGAGTTTTGATGCAAATTCATATAGATAGAAGACTATATATGCAGTTTTAATATAAGGTAATAATCCACTGTAGGGACAAATACTAAAAATGTACTAGCAGAATTTTGCTGTCATATACATTTTTATTGGCTTTTATGAATATGTTTGTTGCCTCTTAATCTCAGAGACATCCTCACTTTTAACCATCACAACCACATCTTTGAGAAATCCTGAGTGATAATTTTTTGGCACTGGAAAAAGAAAATGAAATCCCCTGTATTGAGACAGAAGGAGTTGGAAAACCCTGCATTGTAAATTTTATATGTAGTAATTTGTTTCTCTAAAAAATAAAATAAAATAAAATTCTAATAAAATTTTGGTAGATAGTAGAGAAATTAATGTGAACTTCATATTAATACTGTAGCTTATCAGTTTCTCAGATAAGCTAATATCTATCTTTGCATTGTAACTACCCTTTCCTTGACACAAGATTGACTGTAGGAAACTCACCCTTTATTAAGTATAAAATTTTTTTGTCCTTAGCCATAGAATAGATATTTTATATTTGAGTGTTATTACATCATTCTATAATGGTAAAGGTAACTTTTCTATTTCAACAAATTTTGTTTTTAATTTCATATTAACATTTTTCATTTCAGTAAGTATTCCAGAACACGATGAGGCAGACGAGATCAGTGGTAGGTACTATGCTGCCGACTCTTCTTCCTTGACTATCAGCTCAAGATTTATGAAGTGTCATTGTATAAATAATTTAAATTAAAATAGCAAATGAGACAAGATAGAAAGAACGCTAAAATTGTATCCCTTAAAATCACATTTGCATGTTGCTCACAGTAGGAGGACTTAGCCACTTTTAATAAGAAATGGGAACTAGATTGACTTTTTCCCCCCCAAAAAATACTTGACATTGTCTGTAATTGCATGGCCTTTTCTTCTTTGTTGTAGATGAAAACAGAGAAAAGGTGAATGACCAGGCAAAATTAATTGTGGGCATCGTTGTTGGCCTTCTCCTTGCTGCTCTAGTTGCTGGCGTCGTCTACTGGCTGTACATGAAGAAATCAAAGTAAGTTTAGAAAAGTTCACTGACTTTTCTTGCTGAGAGAAAATACGATGTCTAACTTTTCTCCCCACCACTGTACATGTAATTGCTATAATAAGAAAGATATTTCGCCCAACTGGGCCTATTATGCTTTACTTTCAACTCAGTGACTTAGTTACCAACATCAGTGACATGGCCTGGGGTGTGATTTGACATGTTCCTCTATTACTTTTTATCAGCCAATATTCTGAATTCAGTTATGTGGATTTTTCAGTAGCTAGTGGATTTTTTAAAGTTTATACTGCCTACATGTCACCCATTCCAAACTGTTTTGCAGAGGTTGGAAGAAGGTAATTAGAAATGGTGAGCCCTTCTCACTGTCAGGTATCTGTCAGTGAGACCGGCCTAACTTAAAGCTTCTGGTGAGGTAGAAGTATCTTATCACTACTCCCCTGTCACTGCATCTCTTTTCTAGTGAGGTCACTTTGCTTGCTAGAAGCTATTTCAGAAGAAAATTCATCACTATCTCGAGTTAAACACAAACACACACATACACATATACACACACCAGCACACACATACACACACATATATGTATATATCTATATATGTCTATCTATCTATATTTAAATATGTGTTTTATACAATTAGCCAAAAAACAAGGACTGCTTTCTAGGTGATTTAGGTGTTTAGATTAAAAATTATTAATCATATAATAATGCAGATTGTCCAAATCTTATAAGCCACCTGAGAGTGGCTTATTGTGAAATTATAATATTCCTGTGAAGATTCTTAATATACACAAACATGACTATCATTCCTCATTACACCTGACCTGACCATGCATTCATATATGATCAGACAGAGAAGAGGGTTTTGTACCGCATTTTCAAAGAAGTTTCATTGGTGATTCATTGGTGATTCTTTGGTATGTTCTGGACTCCAAACATAGGTTTTGAACATCTTGTCTTTCCAGTGAGGAAACTAACTGATCCTTTCAGGGGATTTATATAGCAAATACCAACTTTAGGACTTAATTTTATATTTTCACAAAATCTGATGTGAATCCTTTCACAACTGTGAAAAATAGTGAAAAATAGTGCCAGATCAGGGGATTAAGATAAGAGGTAGTGCTAAGGGATGACAGAGCCAAATGTCCAAACCATAGAGTCAGCAACACTGAAAGCAAGAGACCCAAACTTCAAAAATTAAACTTAGAGGGTATGGTGTCGCCAACAGGTCAACCTGTACCTGCAGGGCTAGTGAATCAGCAGCCTGATGTTGTCTTCAGGCTTCCTGATATCCCAGAATTGCCGCTGTGCCTTTGACCAGATCCCAACTACTTGGGAACAAGTTTACCAAGAAATTAAATGACCAAAAGTTAGGTATGTGGGAGTCACACCCACAACCTCCGGCTCGTCTATACAAGCTCACTCAGAGCTGGGATGGGCTACCTCCCACACTTCCCAATACACATGGAAGAACTGGCAGTCACCCCCATGAACCAACTCCAGTGCCACCCTGTAAACTCTACTATTGGCCTTGCCTCAGACACCCCTAAATAAGTCTCAGAAGAGATCAAAAGCCACAGTTCAGCTCAGATCCCCATACATGGCTGAAAAGTCTGAAGTAAATTGGAGGGGGTGGGTTGGCCTGTGCCAGCTCAAACAGAGTCCCTGACAGCCACTTGCTTCCACAATCCAAAATTGCTGCCATACCCCAAGCCTGACTCCACCGTCTCAGGATGGACCTCACCAAGATATAATCTGCTGAAAACTTTGTAATGTGGATCTTAGCGCACCAACAGTCCTGACCCAGAGACACAGCAGCAAGTCCCAGAAGACACCACTGTGCCAGAAATCTCTCCGGGCCCCATACCGTGTCAATATCACCGGGGCACCCCAGAGAGCAGGTGCAATCTCCCTGCCTACTCCAGATGGAACCTCGGTGACCAAGAGCTTTCAAAGCAAGGCCTAGGTATGTGGGTTCAGGATTAAATCTCCACACCACATGGTGGCAGAGGACCTGGGCTGTCACTCCCCGGGTCACCACCTGCCCAGAAGACTGGCTGTCACGCCCACAATTTGCCTCTGGATACCATTTTAGCATACCAACAGCCCTGGCCCAGAGGCTCCCAATTGAATCCCAAAATGGATTAGTGCCATTCAGAAATGTCTCTGGAACCCAACCATTTACAATCTAGAAATTTACATTTATAATCGTGGCCATGTGATATTTGAAATGAGCTATGGAAAATATATTATCTAGTGTCTGCCCCTGGCAGGTAGGCTTGAATGGTGGTGGGAAAATTCGAGCAAATTAACGCCCCAAATTAGAGGGAGTATTGGGGAAATTGTTTGTCATAGAGGCAGGGTGAGGACTACAATGTGTATGTATATGAGGGGGTTGATACTTGGGACAATGGTGGTGGAAAATATGCACTGGTGGAGGGATGAATGTTTCATCATTGTATGGCTGAATCTCAAACATGAAAGATTTGTAACTCTATCTCACGGTGATACAATAAAATAAAAAAGTAATGTGGAGTTCATGCCCAATTGAATCAGCTTAATCAATGAATGAACAAATAACAGTACTCCTACATTATTAAAAAAAAAAGTTAAACTTCGGAAGGTTGTTACTGTCTTTGGCATATCGAATACTCGGAAGGTAACTGTCAAGAGGGCAGACTGGAGCGGTGGGTGTGGTAGGGTGTGGAAATATAGGAGGGAACTTGGAAATACTGTTGGAGGGAAGTTGAATTGGTAGTAGGATCAGTACTTCAATATTGTATGTCTAAACATCAGCTATTAATAATTGTAAATCACGGTGCTTAATGAATTTTAATTTTTACAAATAATAAAGTTCTATAATTTTTTAAAAAATTAGGCATTCATAGACAAGTTTGATTAATTTGGAATTTTTTTAGCTTCATACTCAGTTTTCTTTCATCTCCTCCATCAACTTTGTGTGAATCACATATATTCATTTTTTCAATCATATTTGTGCCAGAATAAAATATCAAATTTAATATAAAATATTTTTAAATGAAATAGGGCATTTTGGTAGAATAAAATAAAGCACTGGGCAACATTTTACATTAATCTAATAAAGTAATTTAATTATAGTTATTTAATTAAAATAATATATCCCTTTTAGTTAACATATGAATATGTAATGGTAACTATTTAAAAATATAAAAATAAGCTTTTTTCCTTTTAAAATAAAGTCAACAGAACAATCAGAGCCCATCAAGATCTGTAATCTGACTTCAAAAAGAGAGCAATTTGAATGGAATTTCAGTGGAACATTAATTAAATAAAGCTATCATCAAGGGGAATTAGTAGCTCAGAAATTTTAAAATCAAGAAATATGATCATGTATTTAGCTCTGTTTTATTCTACCTATGTCTTTAGTAGGTAGCATTACTCACATTTTGCGTTGGAAAATGCAGAGAATGATTAAATGAGTTCCTTAAGATTTACACAGTTTATGAGGGAACAAATGTATTTGTTGTCAGTGATGTTTTAGAATTATTGTCCTTAACTGCTTCTTTAGTTTTCGGGTCCCATAAGACAAAAGCATGCTCTTATTGTGTAGAGGTTGATGTAATTGTTTGTTCTCCTACCCATTAAGGTCAGTCATTTCTGATCTTTGTATTTATTCCTCAGTTTTAAGCAGTCTCCACTAGAACTTGGTTACATCTTTTCTCAGTGAATTCATTTTCTTTCTTTCTTTTTTTTAATTGAATCATCATGAGATACACAGTTATAAAGCTATTCATGATCAGGTTTCAGTCATACCATGTTCCAACACCCATCTCTCTACAGTGTACATTTCCCACCAGCCATGTCTCCCTGCCCCACCAGCCTGTCTCTATGGCAGGTACTTTCCTTATTTCTCTCACTCTGTCTCCTTTTGGACAATAGAATTTGCAGTACGGATACTGAGAGGTTATCATGTTTGTTCCTTTAACTCCTTTCACCAAACAATTCTTATCCAGAGTGATCATTTTCAAATATCTTTGTCATAGTTGTCCCTTCTCTATCCCAACTTCCTTCACCCCCAGCATGGGAAGCAGTCTTCCAACCATGGACCAATCCTCCTGGACCTTGTTTCTACGGTCCTTGGATATTAGTCTCATATTATGATTTTTTTTAATTCCCACTAATGAGTGCAATCACTCCATGTTTGTTCCTTTTCTTCTGACTCATTTCAGTCAGCATCATACTCTCCATGTCCATCCATTTATAAGTGAATTTCATGACTACATTTCTCCTAACAGCTGCATAGTATTCCAAGTATTCCATTGTGTAGATGTCACTGTCACTGTCACTGTCCTCCCGTTGTTCATCGATTTGCTCAAGGGAGCCCAGTAACATTGTGAGGCTTGTTGTTACTATGTTTAGCATATAGAATATGTCATGGGTTGCTTGGCAGGCTTTGCCATGTAGGCAAGATACTCTAGCTTGCCGGGCTTGCAGGGCTCTCCAAGAGGGGCAGAGGAATCAAAGTCAGGTCAGCCAGGTCGGCCACCAGTGAGGCAAACACTACCCAATATACTATCAGTCCAGCCTAAACGTAAACATTTATTTATTTATTTATTTATTTTGCTTTTTGAGTCACACCCATCGATGCTCAGGGGTTGCTCCTGGTTTTGAACTCAGGAATTACTTCTGGCAGAGCTCGGGGGACCATATGGGATGCTGGGAATCGAACCTGGGTCAGCCACGTGCAAGGCAAAGACCCTACCCGCTGTGCTATCTCTCCACATGGTACATTGTGTAGATGCACCATGATTTTTTTAAACTGTTATCTGTTCTTGAGCACTTGGGTTGTTTCCAGATTCTGAGTTTTGTGAATAGGGCTGCAATAAACGTAGAAGTTCAGATAGCATCTCTGCTGTGTGCTTTTGCCCCTGCCAAGTTTATTCCCATAACTGATATTGCTGGGTCATATTGAAACTCATTGTCCACCTTTTTCAGTAATGCCCATATTGTTTTCTCAAAAGTTTGGACCAGTCA